TTTTCTCTAGTTTGCCCAAGAGCACAGCTTGCTAACTCTTAGTCTCTAATATCATTTCCACCTCCAATATCATTTTCCACCATACATTGGGATGTACGTGCAGGTGCCCTTGAGCAGGCACTGAAGACTCAGTCCTGGGTGTCAGTGTGTCCATTGTTAGCCTCATGACATTATACTATGAAGTTCTCTCATTTGAAAAATGGAGGTAGTAATACACTGGTGTCTGTTTTAAGAACAAAAGTGCATATCACATATGGCAGACAATGTGTGTACTTGTCCCTATATCAGGAATTTTGCACAATAGAACAAAACACAACATGGGATAAATAAGGGTTAAGAATTTATTAAGAAATAATTAAGTAAGAATCTCTGATCATGACAGAGGAAAGCAGGATACTAGAGACGTGAGCAAATTGGAAAGGAATGCATGATTATGATGATTATTGATCATTTGCAGAAATTTATGAAAAGCCAAGAGGATATATTTTTCTACATTCTGAAGAGGGAGGGGTGAAGACATTGATGTTGGAGTAGAAGTCAAGATCATGACTCCAAACATACATGAGGACACATGTAGCCTGCAGAGGACCCATAAGGCTTAAGGAAGAAGAGCATCAAAGTGGAGTACTCTGCAGTTGCTCAGGCTGATTCACAGGGTTGCAGACATGCAGGCAGGTAACAAGTTTTGGTTAGAGCATGGCGGTCTTCAGCAAAGTTTGGAAGTGACATTGTCCCTGAAAAGATAAGTCAGTTGATGAAAGATTGTTGTGTGATGATGATGGTCCTTTGGGGAGAGGATCAGCAGCAGGAAGGCTGGCAGCAGCTGGATCCGCAGCTCTGGTTTAGGCAACCAGGCAGGCAGACGCTGGTGGGGTGGTAGCAGGTCCTGGTGCAGTAGACGGGTGCACAGCTGCTGGGCTGGCAGCAGGGTGTGCTGCAGCAAGTGGGTTGGCAGCAAGGCTGGCAGCAGCTGGACACACAGCAGCTGGGCTGGCAGCAGGGTGTGGTGCAGCAGGTGGTCACAGAGGTAGGTTTCCAGCAGGTGGTCCTGCAGCAGGTGGTTGGACAGCAAGTTGGTTGGCAGCAGGGCTGGCAGCAGCTGGACCCACAGCAGCTGGGCTGGCAGCAGGGTGTGCTGCAGCAGGTGGTCTCACAGCTGGGTTGCCAGCAGGTGGTCCTGCAGCAGGTGGTCCTGCAGCAGGTGGGCTGGCAGCAAGGCTGGCAGCAGCTGGGCTCACAGCATCTGGGCTGGCAGCAGGTGGTCCTGCAGCAGGTGGGCTGGCAGCAAGGGGAGCAGCAGTCGGTCATGGTGTTGGGTGGAGGGTGGGCTCCTGTTCACAGGTGAGTTTCCCAGAATCTGGTGAGTCCTTCCAACCTGGACCTTTTATACACTGGGCCTCCAAAGTGTGGACCAATGAGCTGAACTTTTCCTTGTTGTTTACATTGTTGTCTAGAGTCACTGGTGAATTATAAAGGAGGAAGTTGTTTCCTAAGTGTTAAGAATCTTTTAAAAGTAAGTGTTTAATCTGTTTCTTAATTAAGAATAATTCATAGAAACTTTTTCTCAGATAAAAGTTCAGGTCATGAGCATTGTTCCTGCTCTGGTCACCATCTGGTCATGTGATAGTTCCTGCTGGCCTGGGAAAGTCAGGAAGTTCTCGGTGCCCAGCCGGTTCCTTTGGCTCTGTGTAGATTGGGAAGCGTCTGTGCGTTGGGTGTGGTGCTAATATGTTCCCAGTCATCGATTGAACCCAATTTGGTTCCAAGTCTGTTCACCCACAAAAGCCAGACTCAAGAGTAACAGGCATCTCTCTCTCTCTCTCTCTCTGTACTACCTACTCCACCTGTGTCTCCCGTTGTATCAGGGACACCTGGGAAAAGGATGTTTGGTATATTGTTTTCCACATGGCAGATCGGAACCAAAGCAGGAGGGTAGGTGGAGAAGCAGTACAGCACAATTTAGAGAGTATTAGTTTATGGGTGACATTCATCTTGATTTGCCAGGACTGAAGGCTTAAAAAATGAGAATGTGGGAGTTTCTGTGATATGACTACCACAGATCCACGCAAACCAGGATTAGCTGGGCATGCTAACTCTAAGCCTGATTACCAGGACAGATAGTGTTTTTGGTCACTGACTGAACATTTTTCTCTATCTTTTCTTTTCTTTTCTTTTCTCTTCTCTTCTCTTCTTTCTTCTTTCATTCTTTCTCTTTTTCTCTCTCTCTCTCTCTGTCTCATATTTTCCTTCCCTCCTTTTCTTTTCTTTTTTCTTTCTTTCTCTTGTCTCTATTTCTTTAATTTTCTCTCTCTGTCTCCCTGTCCATCTCTTTATCTCTTTCTCTTTTCCATGAAGGAATTAAATTCTTTGCATTTCCTTGTCCAGCTACATGAACTTTAAGAAGCTCACTCTAACCCCCCACCAAAGGCTTTCATGAATCATAATGACACATATGCCTTTATTGCTAAGTTCAGACTAAGTGTTTTTCTAAATATTCTTGTTGTTACTGTAGTCTCTTTCAGTAGAGTGAACTTCCGTGAAATATATGGATGTTTGTTATTATTCCTCATTCTTTGTGTCTGTACCAATTTTGTAAGAGTCCTCTCATTTGCATTGTCATTTTCTCTACTAAGCTCCCTCAAAAATAGTGCATCTATTCTTTTCTGTCTTATACAGTATGTTCTCTCCTGTAGAAGTGGAAGACCATAGATCTTGATTATGGGAATTCAAATCACATGGAAATGCATTTGATTTCCGATTATGCTAATCAGTAGCTGAGTGTTGGGGCAAAGGTAGAATATGTTCATGCCATCTTAGGGATCATTTCTCATATATGCTGTGTCATCCTCCTTGGCATATATTTGTATTTTCCATTTTCATCCTAGATAGCATGCTGATCTGGGCAAATCTGGAATTTTTCATTTCTTATTTCCCTGCCTTAATTGGTGGCCAATCTACAGCCAGGTACCTTCTTTAAGAGATCACAATTCCTATATTTTCAGGAGATATCACAGAAACAATGAACCATCCTTATTTTTAGTAGAAAAACACTTTGTTTTTTTCCCCAGTTGTGTTGAGACATGATTGACAAATAAAAATTACATATATGTAAGGTGTACAACTTGATGTTTTGACGTACATATGCACATGTATTGTGAAATAACCACCACAATCAAGCTAATCACCACATCCATCACTTCACACAGTCACTATTATTTTCGTGTGTGGTGATGACACCTCAGATCTACCCACGTAGGATTTTCCACCACACAATTTAGCATCGCTAGCAAGTTACGCTGTTGTACGTTAGATATCCAAAACAGATTCATCTGTCATGATTGGACTTCTGTACCGTTTGACCAGGATCTCCCCAGTTATTCATCCCAGCCCCTGGCAACCACCATTCTACTTCCTGATTCTATAAAATTGACTATTTTAGATTCCACATAGAAGTATGATCATGGAGTATTTGTCTTTCTCTGAGTGGTTATTTCACTAGATACAATGCCCTTGAGGATTTCCCTTAAGGTCTCAATGACAGGGTTTCCTTCTTTGTAAAGTCTAAATACTATTTCATTGCACACATGTGAAACATTTTCTGTATCTACTCACCCACTGATCAACTTTTCCTGTCTTGGCTATTGTGAATAGTGTTATCATATACATGGGAGTACAGATATCTCTTTGAGATTCTACTTTCATTTCCTTGGGATATATTCTTAGAAGAGGGAGTGCTGGATTATGGGACATTCCATGTTTAATTTTTTGAGGAACCTCCATACTGTTTTTTGTAAAATGTACCAATTTACATTCCCACCAGCGGTGTGCAAGAAGTTCCTTTTCTCCATGTCCTTGTTAGAGCTGATTACTTTTGGTCTTTGTATTAATAGCCAGCCACTCAACAGGTATGAGGTGATAGCTCACTGTGGTTTTGATTTGTATTTTCCTGATGATTAGTGATGTTGAGCATCTTTTTTATACCTTTGGCCATTCCTATGTCTTCTTTGAAAAATGTTTATTCAGGTCCTTTCTTATTTTTAATCAGGTTATTTGGGGGTTTTTGGCTATAGAATTGTAGCTGTTCTTTATATACATATTGGGAATTAACTCCTTATTGGGCATATGCTTTGCAAATATTTTCTCCCATTCCACACATATCCTTTCCATTTTCTTCATTGATTCCTTTGCTGAACAGAAGCTTTTCAATTCAATGGAGTCCCACTAGTCTATTTTCTCCATTTTGCCCAAGTGCACAGCTTGGTAATTCTCAGTCTCCAACAGCATTTCTACCTGCCTTGGGATGTACATGCATGTGCCCTTTGGCAGGCACTGAAGACCCAGTCCTGGGTGTCAGTGTGTCCATAATTAGCTACCTACATGACATTATACTATGAAGTTTTCCCATTTGAAAAATAGAGGTAGTAATACACTGGTGTCTGTTTTAAGAAAAAATTAGATATTACATATGGTGTTCAATATGTATACAAGTCCATGTGTAAGGAATTCTGCACAAGAGAACAAAACACAACATTGGATGAATAAGAGTTCAGAATTTATTAAGAAATACTTAGGTAAGAATTCCTGATCATGACAGAGGAAAGCAGGGTGCTACAGATGTGATTAAATTGGAAAGGAAAGCATGATTATGACAACTATTGATCAGTTGCAGAAACCTATGAAAAGCTGAGAGGATTTGTTTTTTTTTTATGTCCCAAAGTGGGAGAGAGTGAAAATATTGATGTTAGAGTCAAAATGAAGACCATAACAGCAAACCAAGGGTACATGAAGCTTGTACATAGGCATAAGGAAGAAGAGCATCAAAGTGGAGTACTCTGCAGTTGCTCAACCTGATTCACAGGGTTGTGAAATGCACACCCGTAACAAATTTTGGTTAGAGCATGATGGTCTTCAGCAAAGTTTGGAAGTGACATTGTCCCTGAAAAGATAAGTCAGTTGACGAAAAACTGTTTTGTGATGATGATGGTCCTTTGGGGAGGGGATCAGCAGCAGGAAGGCTGGCAGCAGCTGGATCCACAGCTCTGGTTTAGGCAACCAGGCAGGCAGACGCTGGTGGGGTGGTAGCAGGTCCTGGTGCAGTAGACGGGTGCACAGCTGCTGGGCTGGCAGCAGGGTGTGCTGCAGCAAGTGGGTTGGCAGCAAGGCTGGCAGCAGCTGGACACACAGCAGCTGGGCTGGCAGCAGGGTGTGGTGCAGCAGGTGGTCACAGAGGTAGGTTTCCAGCAGGTGGTCCTGCAGCAGGTGGTTGGACAGCAATTTGGTTGGCAGCAGGGCTGGCAGCAGCTGGACCCACAGCAGCTGGGCTGGCAGCAGGGTGTGCTGCAGCAGGTGGTCTCACAGCTGGGTTGCCAGCAGGTGGTCCTGCAGCAGGTGGTCCTGCAGCAGGTGGGCTGGCAGCAAGGCTGGCAGCAGCTGGGCTCACAGCATCTGGGCTGGCAGCAGGTGGTCCTGCAGCAGGTGGGCTGGCAGCAAGGGGAACAGCAGTTGGTCATGGTGTTGGGTGGAGGGTGGGCTTCTGTTCAGAGGTCAGTTTCCCAGAATCTGATGAGTCCTTCCAACCTGGACCTTTTATACACTGGGCCTCCAAAGTGTGGAACAATTGAATGAAGTTTTCCTTGTTGTTGTTTACATTGTTGTCTATAGTCACTGGTGAATTATAAATGAGGAAATTCTTTCCTGAGTGTTAAGAATCTATTAAAAGTAAGTGTTTAATCTGCGTCTTAATTGAGAATAACTCATAGAAACTCATTTTCAGATAAAAGATCACATCATGAGCTTCGTTCCTGCTCTGGTCACCATCTGGTCATGTGATAGTTCCTGCTGGCCTGGGAAGGCCAGGAAGTTCTCGGTGCCCAGCCGGTTCATTTGCCTCTGTCTAGATTGGGAAGCGTCTGTGGGAGGAGCATGGTGCTGATATGTTCACAGTGATAAATTCAACTCATGCTTGGGTTAAAGTCTGTTCACCTACAAAAGCCTGACTCAAGACTAATAGGCATCTCTCTCTGGAAAATATGGAAAATCCTCAAGGACATTGCACCTGGTGAAATAACAAATCACAGAAAGCAAACACTGCATGATCTTACTTCTATGTGGAATCTAAAACAGTCAACTTCATAAAAGCAGAAAATAGAATGGTGATTGCTAGGGGCTTGGAGGAATAACTGGGGAGATCCTGCTCAAAGGGTACACAGGCTCAATCAGGCAAGGTGAATCTGTTTTGGACATCTACTCCACCTGTGTCTCCTACGTGTATCAAGGACACCTGGGAAAGGATGTTTGGCATATTGTTTTCCATGTGGCAGATCAGAGCAAGCAGGTGGGTAGGTGGAGAAGCAGTACACCAGGACGCAGAAAGTATCCATTTATGGGTGACAATCAGCTTGATTTGCCTGGACTGAAGGCTTAAAAAATGAGAATGTGGGAGTTTCTGTGGTATGACTACCATAGATCCAGGCAAAGCAGGATGAGCTGGTGATGGTAACCCTGAACCTGGCTACCAGGAAAATTAGTGTCTTTGGTCACTAGCTGAATATTTTTCTCCTCTTTCTTTCTTTCTTTCTTTCTTTCTTTCTTTCTTTCTTTCTTTCTTTCTTTCTTTCTTTCTTTCTTTCTTTCTTTCTTTCTTTCTTCCTTCCTTCCTTCCTTCCTTCCTTCCTTCCTACCTTCCTTCCTTCCTTCCTCCCTTCCTCCCTTCCTTCTTTTGTCTTTCTGTCTTTCTTTTACTCTCCCTGTCTCTCTTTCCTTTCTTTCTCTCTCTTTTCCTTCTTTCTTTTTCCTCTTCCCTCTCTCTCTAGTTTTTTCATTGTTCTTTTCTGTTTCCCTTTTCAATGAGCGAATTAAATTAGTTGCATTTCCCTTTCCAGCTACATGAACTTTAGGAAGCTTGCTCTTATCCCCCAGCAGAGACTCCCATGAACGATAATGACACCTATATCTTTATTGTTAAGTTCTGACTAGTTTTTTTTTTTTTTAATATTACCGTTGTTAGTATGGTCTTTGGACCATACTAACAATGGTTTATGGAGTGAACCTCCGTGAAATCTATGGACGTTTGTTATCATTCCTCATTCTTTGTGTCTATGAGAATTTTGTAAGCTGCTTCTCATTTGCATCCTCATTTTCTCTACTAAGCTCCCTCCAAAAATAGTGCATCTACTCATCTCTGTCTTCTATGTTATTTTCTCTCCTGTAGAAGTGGAAGACCATAGATCTTGGTTATGGGAATTCAAATCACATAGAAAAGCATTTGATTTCCTGTTATGCTAATCAGTAGCTGAGTGTGTTGGGGCAAAGGTAGAATATGTTCATGCCATCTTAGGGATCATTTCTCATATATGCTGTGTCATCCTCCTTGGCATATATTTCTTTGTATTTTCCATTTTCATCCTAGATAGCATGCTGATGTGGGCAAATCTGGATTTTTTCATTTCTTATTTCCCTGCCTTAATTGGTGGCCAAGCTACAGACAGGTACTTTAAGAGATCACAATTCTTATATTTTCAGGAGATATCACAGAAACAATGAACATCCTTATTTTTAGTAGAAAACACTTTGTTTTTTCCCTCAGTTATATTGAGACTTGATTGACAAATAAAAATTACATATATGTAAGGTGTACAACTTGATGTTTTAATACATATGCTTATGTGTTGTGAATAATCACCATAATCAAGCTAATCAACAAATGCATTGCCTCACACAGTCACTATTATTTTCATGTGTGGTGAGGACCCCTGAGATCTACTGAAGTAGGAATTTCTACCATATAGTCCAGCATTGCTAGCAAGTCACACTGGTGTACATTAGATGTCCAAAACAGATTCATCTTGCATGATTGAGCCTGTGTACACTTTGAGCAGGATCTCCCCAGTTATTCCTCCCAGCCCCTAGCAATCACCATTCTATTTTCTGCTTTTATAAAGTTGACTGTTTTAGATTCCACATAGAAGTAAGATCATGCAGTGTTTGCATTCTGTGATTTGTTATTTCACCAGGTACAATGTCCTTGAGGATTTTCCATATTGTCTCGAATGACAATGTTACATTCTTTTCAAAGGTAAATACTATTTCATTGCACACATGTGAAGCATTTTCTGTATCCAGTCATCCATTGCTGGGCATTCCATGGCTTGGCTATTGGGAATAGTGCTGCAATGAACATGGAAGTGCAGATATCTCTTTGGAATGCTTTCATTTCCTTGCAACATACCTTAGAAAAGTGATTGCTGCATCATAGGATAGTTTTATGTTTAATTTTTTTAGGCATCTCCATACCGTTTTCCATAATGGCTGTACCAATTTACATTCCCACCAACAGTGTACAAGAATTTCCTTTTCTGCATATCCTTGTCAATGCTTGTTATTTTTGTCTTTCTGGTAATAGCCATTCCAACAGGCATGATGTGATAGCTCATTGTGGTTTTGATTTGCATTTGCCTGATGCTTATTGGTGATGTTGAGGATATTTTTCTCTGCTGGTTGTCCACTCACATGTCTTCTTTGAAAAGTGTGTACTCACGTCCTTTTACATTTTTTAAACAGGCTATTGTTTTTGGCTTTTGAATGGTTTCACTGATGTTTATTTTGTAAATAAACTCCTTTTCAGATATATGGTTTACAAAATTTTCTCCCATTTCATAGGTTACACTTTCATGTTCTTCATTGTTTCCTTTGCTGTGCAAAAGCTTTTCCATTTGATGTAGTCCCACTAGTCTATTTGTTCTTTGTTGTTCAAGTCCACAGCCTACTGGATCACAGTCTCCAACAGCATTTCTACCTGCCTGAGATGTATCTGCAGGTGCCCTTGAGCAGGCACTGAAGACCCAGTCCTGGATGTCAGAGTGTCTATTATTAGCTACAGGACATTATAGTATGAAGTTTTGTCATCTGAAAAATGGAGATAATAATATAGGGGTGTCTGCTTTAAGAACCATATTAGGTATTGCATATGGAATGCAACATGTATACAAGGCCCTGTATCAGGAATACTGTACAATAGAACAAAACACAACATGGGATGAATAAGAGTTCATAATTTATTAAGAAATACTTAGGAAAGAATCCCTGATCATGAAAAGAGGAAAGCAGGATACCAGAAAAGTGAATAAATTGGAAAGGAAAGCATGATTATGACAATTATTGATCAGTTGCAGAAACCTATGAAAAGCCGAGAGGATTTGTTTTCCCATCTTCCAGAGAGGGAGAGAGTGAAGATATTGATGTTAGAGTCAATGTTAAGACTGTAACTCCGAACCAAGGCTACATGAAGGTTGTACATGATCCATCAGGCATAAGGAAAAAGAGCATCAAAGTGGAGTACTCTGCAGTTGCTCAACCTGATTCACAGGGTTGTGAAATGCAGAGAAGTAACAAATTTTGGCTACAGCATGGTGGTCCCTAGCAAAGGTTGGAAGTGACATTGTCCCTGAAAAGATAAGTCAGTTGATGAAAGATTGTTGTGTGATGATGATGGTCCTTTGGGGAGTGGATCAGCAGCAGGAAGGCTGGCAGCAGCTGGGTCCGCAGCTCTGGTTTAGGCAACCAGGCAGGCAGACGCTGGTGGGGTGGTAGCAGGTCCTGGTGCAGTAGACGGGTGCACAGCTGCTGGGCTGGCAGCAGGGTGTGCTGCAGCAAGTGGGTTGGCAGCAAGGCTGGCAGCAGCTGGACACACAGCAGCTGGGCTGGCAGCAGGGTGTGGTGCAGCAGGTGGTCACAGAGGTGGGTTTCCAGCAGGTGGTCCTGCAGCAGGTGGTTGGACAGCAAGCTGGTTGGCAGCAGGGCTGGCAGCAGCTGGACTCACAGCAGCTGGGCTGGCAGCAGGGTGTGCTGCAGCAGGTGGTCTCACAGCTGGGTTGCCAGCAGGTGGTCCTACAGCATGTTGTCCTGCAGCAGGTGGGCTGGCAGCAAGGGGAGCAGCAGTCAGTCATTGTGTCAGGGCTAGAATGTAGATGTCTTTTCAGAGGTGAGTATCCCAGATTCTGAGATCATCTGTTCCGACTGAGGCTTTTATATACTGGACTCCTGGTGTCTGAGATCAATAAGCAGGATGTTTCCTTGGTTTTATGTTGTTACTGTTTTTGTTGTCACTGGGGAATTGTCAAGGAGGAAGTTGTTCCCTTTGTGTTTTGAAATTTCTGAAGATAGGGGTTTTAATCTTTTTCTTAATTGGGAATACTCTTTTAGAACATTTTCCAGAACTGAGAAATGCAGGAATGGTCATTAGTATAATACGTGCCCATGTGATATCATCTGATTATGGGATAGTTCTCGCTGGCTTTGGAGGGTCAGAACACTTGTCCTTCCTGAAGGCTTTTCCTTTTGTTGTATGTGCATTGGGAAGTGACAGTGAGAAGTTCAGAATTCTGATACGTTCATTCTTGTTTAATTGAAAACTTGCTTGTGTCCAAGTCTGATCATGCAGATAATTTTGATCTAAGGTTACAACAGGTATCTGTATCTCTGGTAACCTACTCTGTACATATATTCTAGTACTATCAAAGATGCTTGGGCACAAGATTAGCACAAGATTTTTTTATAGGCACATCAGCACCAAAACAGGAAGATAGAGGCAGAGGCAGAATGCTGGGATTCAGAAAGTATCAATTCATTAATGTTCCATCCCCATTTCTTTTTTTTTTTTCTTCTTCCTTTTATTTCATCATATTATGGGGGTACAAATATTGTTAGGGTTACAAATATTGCCTCTGCCTCCCTCCCTCCCCCCAATGTGCCAGAGATTCAAGTGTGTCCAATGCCCTGGTGGTGCGCACCGCACACATTATGTAAGTATACCCATCCCCATTTCTAATTGGGTAAGTGACCTCAGGTGAGTTTTCTCAATTTGCACATACTTGCTTTTTTTATTGAGGGAAATAGGTAGGAGAGGTGATGCCCAAAATATGTCTGAATCTTTAAAGTTATGTTTCAATCCATGTGGGAAATTGTCAGCCACTATTTCTTAAATTTTTTTCTTCTCTCTGGGAATAAATGTAGGAGTGGATTTGCCATGTCATGGGAAAAGCATATAATCAACATTAGTAGAAAGAAAAAAAATAGTGTTTCAATTTTTTACATCCAGTAGTGACTCCTATTTGACCTTAGTATTGTGAGCCTTCTGAGTTTTACTAGTATGTATTTACATGTTAGATTTGCATCTCTTTGATGACTAATGTATATTAGACATTTGTTGCTTTTTATTTTCTTTTTCATGAGTGGCCTGTCCAAGTGTTCTACCTATATTTCTTTTTGGTTGTCAATTTCTTATTGTTTTATAGATTGTGAATATATTTTCTGAATATATAATCAGCATAGTGTGTGTATATGTGTGTACAGATAACTAAATGTTAATATATATATTTTCTAATACATAGTAATTTATATATATATACATAAGATATATGTGAGCTCTATTTCTATCTCTATCATCTATCAATTATATATGTTCAAATATTTTATCCCATTCTGTGTTATGTCTGCCTTTTTGCTCTCTTTATGTTGTCTTTTGATAAGTTCTTACCTTACTTGTAATAGCCCAATACATTGACCTTTCCTTACTTTGGTGCATTTAGAGTCTTACTTAACAAATCATTAAGTAGCCCAATATTATGACATTCTCCTCTATTATCTTCTAAAAGCTTTATTGTTTACCTTTAATATTTACATCCAAAAATACAGCTTTAATTGATTTTATATGCTTTATTTTTTTCCCGGGTGGATATCCTATTGTTCCCCGTGTGTTCCTATTGCTCCCTTGTTTCTTTGCATATCTTATTTTTTTTTAGTTGAAAATTAGACATTTAAAATCATATAACGTGGATCTCTGGGAATTGGATTCTTCCCTGGGCTTTTTGCTATTGCTGTTTACATAAGATAAGGTGACTGTTAGAAGGGAAAAAGGGAGTAGATGTCTCTGGGTAGGTGGAAGAATATCTGATCCTGTCATGTTTCCGTTATGCATCTGTAAAGATAGATTTGTAATTTCTTATAAGTGTGGAATCAAAGGGACTTTAGTTTTAGGAGCTACAGTAGCCTGCAGATACAATTCACATGTCCTTACTTATGGGAGGCCAGCAACAAATTACCTGTGGACCAGTCCTGCGCAGATGCCTGAGGCCTTTACTTTCCCTTTTGCATATGGAGTTGGAGGAATATTTATTTTCTTTTGTAGTTTTCATGTATTAATCTTTGTAAATATATGAAGATTCTTTGTTTTAAAATCTTGCTTAGGAATTTTGCATCTCTGTATGTTGCATAAGTATGTTTTCCTTTGACATTCCTTTCTTGACATATCTATGATGAGTTTTGGTATCAAATTTATACCAGACCCATAAAACAAGCCGGACATTATTCCCTCTTTTTGTAGTCTCTAGAAACATTTAAGATTGTATTATTTCTTCCTTGAATAGTTTGTGTTTGGTAAAATATTCTCGTGGAAGTCATTATTGTTTGTGGATGTGTGCTGGGGGTGAGTAAAGGAAGAGAATAGCACTTATAATTATTTATTAAATTTCTTGAATTTACATAAAATGTTAGAGTTTCTACTTCTCATGTCAGTTTCAATACTTTTTTTCTGTGAAATTACCTATTTTATGTAAATTAAAATTTTGGCATAAAATTCTCATATCATTTTATTACACTTTCAACATTTTAGAATCAATAGTTATGCCTCATTATCAGTTGTGGTGTCAGTTATAGATACTACTCTCTCTTTTTGTTTTAATTTTTAAATTTTTTATTTCTTGAATAGTATTCCCATAGTTCACTAATTTTATTATTTTTTTTTCATAGAACCAACTCTACTCAACAGAAGCATGGAAATGTGAGAACCCATGGAGAATTATCTCCGAACAGAAGAAACTCTACATGTCCAACAATAATAATCATTTACCTAAAGTTGTGGATCCTTGATGCAATATCCTGCGAGGGGGTCCTCCAGTTACCTTGAATATCTGAATTCATAACCTCAGAGTAGCCTATTGTATTTAGGTATATTAAAGATTACTTTCTTATGCTAAATATCATCCACTCTAAGCCTCCCATGTTTTTTTCCTCGTGGGGCTCACTTGTGATTATACAGTCAGAATGGCATTTTTGCTAGGTTCCCCACCTCATTAACCATTTGATTCCCACTGCCCACCCACGGTAAATCACACTCATCACCCTCTAAACTCAGGCACCTGCCTCCCCACCAGGTGGGGTGTTCTCTTCTGCCCCACGCACAGCAGGCCCCTACCTGGCTGTCATTGTCACCTTTCTCCAAGTTCCTTTTCACTGGGCTTGCCAACCACCTCATCCTTCTTGTTAAAACCAAGTTCAGAGTAGTTTCCTAAATGTGTCAGACCTTCCTGCGTGCTGTTTGAACAGAATGAAATCCCATGGACTATGCCGTGTTTTCATTCCCATCCCCTCTCATTTGTATTTGTATCATTTTGTCCGCTGCTTCGAGGTCAGTACCCATTTTCTCCAGTAACCTCGGTCAGTTACAGCCCACCTAGTCCTCTCTGCTTTGATTTCCACCCATGTGCTGTCCATTGCAGAGGTGACAGACAGTCGTGTCTGCCTCTGGGACTTGGGAATCAGAGTCTGGTTGCTGAATATTCCCCTCCAGTTCTGCCTTGCACAGGTAGTTCTTGGGCAGATTATTTAACATATCAAGCCCTTCTTCTAGTCGGTTGCTTTTTAAATAAATATTTGGCTTCCCTCTGTTTATTTTATACTGGCTGTTTTGCATGATAACTGGATCACTGAGGTTAATCTGGAAGATTTTTCTGCATTTTTGCCCTCTCTCCAGCATCATACTATGAGCACAAACCTGGTTTGTCTTCTTCACTCCCAAGAGACTGTCGTTTCTTTTTATGCTCTTCCTTGGAGCCTTGGAATCTTGCAATCTAGGGCCTCTCTACTCCCTGCATAAGCACAGTGAGTGCCACACAGTAGGTGAACAGTACCTAGTTATGGAAGGAAAAGGGCCTTTTGAATCCATAGATTGCAAACCTGTCACTTTTTACTGCCCACCCCATCTCCAAACCTCATAAAATGAAATAAATGTGAAAACACCAAGTCACTCATTTTCATGTGCAAGACTTTCTTGAACACAGAGTAGCCACTTTAACCTCTTCTGGTGCATTGGAAATAAGACAGTTTGGTGGAAACAGATTGTTTTTAGAAGCCAATCAAGCTGTTTCCAGCTGAGCAGCTGTGCAGGCTGGTGCGTGTCCTATCACCTCCCTGAGCTCCGTGTACTCTGCTTTCAAATGTGTGCAGCGAGATTTCCTTTGCAGGCTTGTGTGAGAATGAGACACTGCACGGAGAGCATGCATCTCAGCATCTACTAGATGCTTGGGAAATATTAATAAGTAACTTCAAGGGCTCCTGTGCTATGAAACACCAGGGGTGCTAGTGGTTAGCAAGCTGGATTGCTTGGCAGGCTCTTCAGAGGCCTGGAGCTTTCCATGTCTGCTCACCTCTGTTAGCTTGGCTGAGGGGACACTCTGGTCCTGAAACCTTGTTTTCTCTTAGAGGCAGCAATAGCCCAGAAAAACCCAAATGCTCATGTATGCTCTTTGGTGTTCAGTTCTTCAAAAGACCCATGTCCTCCTTTTCTACCATCATCCTCATACCTATTATGGATTCTGCATTTGTTTTGTTGCTCACATTACTTGTGCACAGAAAAGTGCCCGAATGTGTAAGTGTGAAGATACTCCCTGCTACAGAAGCCAAGAGCCAGCTCCCCAGGGCTCAGTTATTTCCACCTGCAGTGAGATGTGATCAAAGTACCCATGAGATATGATAGGAGAGCACAGGCACTGGGACAATTCACGTTAAGAAAGTAACTTTTCCCATCTATGGTTTGTCAAAGATGCTCTTGACTCTGACTGCCTTGTGAGGTTTTTGTGAGGCTGTGAAGGAATGATGGAAGTGAAATGCAGTCTGAATGTAAGGAAATGCTATAGAAATAAAAACACATACAAGAAATATGCAAGGAAATACAGATTTATTAGGAAATAACCAGGGGAGACTCCCTATAACTAGGAGACGAAAGAAAATGGGCATGAAAGGGGAAAGAATAGGTCACAAGAATAAGGAATACATTGAGAAAATATCATTTATCATTGGTAAGAGTTAAGAAAAAAGACATAGGTTTTTGGTTGTTTGCTGATTTTTTTGGATTGCTTAGAATGAAAGGATGAGGATGACTCTTCCACATCTTGAGAACATGACTCGAACAAGAGCAAGAACAGATAAAGTAGACCAGGAACTGGAGCTCCCCCTGAACAGATTAAGAGGAGAAAAGTGGATAAAGTAGGTTTTACTCCATCAAGCAGACACTCTTTTTATAAACTGTCTTTATAACAAGACAAGCGACGGGTAGTTTGATGATGGCAAAGCCTGGAGAATGATTCTGTTGCAGGATCTGGGTTGGCTGATACAAAGTTGGAATGTGACAGGTGGTGGGTCTTTGGCAAGAGGATCAGCAGCAGGAAGGCTGGCAGCAGCTGGATCCGCAGCTCTGGTTTAGGCAACCAGGAAGACAGACGCTGGTGGGGTGGTAGCAGGTCCTGGTGCAGTAGACTGGTGCACAGCTGCTGGGCTGGCAGCAGGGTGTGCTGCAGCAAGTGGGTTGGCAGCAAGGCTTGCAGCAGCTGGACACACAGCAGCTGGGCTGGCAGCAGGGTGTGGTGCAGCAGGTGGTCATAGAGGTGGGTTTCCAGCAGGTGGTCCTGCAGCAGGTGGTTGGACAGCAAGCTGGGCGGCAGCTGGACTCACAGCAGCTGGGCTGGCAGCAGGTGGTTGGACAGCATGTTGGGCGGCAGCAAGGCTGGCAGCAGCTGGGCTCACAGCAGCTGGGCTGGCAGCAGGGTGTGCTGCAGCAGGTTGTCTCACAGGTAGGTTGCCAGCAAGTGGTCCTGCAGCAGGTAGTTGGACAGCAGGTTGGGCGGCAGCAAGGCTGGCAGCAGCTGGACTCACAGCAGCTGGGCTGGCAGCAGGTGGTCCTGCAGCAGGTGGGCTGGCAGCATGGGGAGCAGCAGTGGGTCATGGTTTGGGGGTAGAGGGTGGGCTCCTGTTCAGAGGTGAGTTTCCTAGAATCTGATGAGTCTTTCCAATCTGGATCTTTTATACCTGGTACCTCAAAGTTTGGACCAATGAGTAGAACTTGTCTTTGACATTGTTTATGTTAATTTCTCTAGGCCATTGGGAAACGCCCCAGTGAGGAAGCTGTTTTTCAAATGTTATGAATTTTCTTTGGGTAGTTGATTTGTTTGCTCTTCTAATTGACAAATAAACAATCAGAGCTATTTTCCTGAAATGAGAAATAAGTCATCATTCTCCAAATCAATTAAGCACTAATCCTCATTTTTATAGTTGAGTACAGTATTTGCTCATCTAACAGGTCCAGCTTAGCCTGGTGAGAGGTCAGGACAGTTGCCAGTCTTCTATTTTCCTGGGTGCTATTTATTTTGCCAAGTATTTCTGAAGGAAGAGTGATGTTGAGTCATCATGGTGAGTTAAAATGAAGTTTAGGAAGGCCTCTGATACCTCCTGCAACATAGAAGCTAGTATAAGATTGATCTTCCTGCTGTAAACAATGACAAGCGGTAGGTAAATATGTAAAACAACTGTTGGCAGATATTGAACCGCAATCAACTTTGGGCTATAATATTAAAGGAGAGAAACATGGTGTGAGGCCCAATTTATCCCAGGTTTCTCCCCTTATGTTCTTCCCAAACTGCAGTGCCAGGAGGAATAGAGTCCAAGCAGAGAGTAGAGAAGAGAGAGACAGGCGCTGGAGGGGTTTATTACAGTTCATTCGCTCAGCTCGAAATGTGATTTTTGATGACTAAATTTTCCTAAGTTTGATCTAGTTGAAATTATCAATCATTTCTTTTAAAATAATACTATTGTTGTCTTGTTCAGGAGATATTATCTACTTCATGATGCAAAAATTATTAACATAAATTATGTAGGAAGGGTTTTAAGATTTTTTGAGCTTCAAGCTATTAATATACCTGTAATTGTTTTTTCTTGGTAAATGATGAGTGATTGGAATCCAAGTTCATCTTTTCCATGTAGACACTTTTTTCCAGCTTTAATTAAGGAACATTCTCTGTTTTATTGCTAAATACGTCCCCATTTTCATCAAGAATATTATATTAGTGTTTTCTTTCTTTTTCTTGATCAATCTTGACAGTGGCTTATCATTTGTTAGTATTTTTTTTTTAAAAACCAAATTTTGGCTTTGTTGATCTTCTCCATTGTATCTTTGGTAACTATTTTATGACTTTACATTTTAATTTATGCTTTTTAAGCTAATTCTATTTTTCTTTTTCTTATTCACTAAGATGAACACTTAATTCATTTATTTTGAGGTTTTCTTCTTGTCTAATGCAAGCATTGAAGGCTATAAAATTAGTTAAATCACCATTTTTACAGCACACCACAAGTTTTAATATGTAATACTTTCATTATAACTCAGTTACACATTCTTTCCCTTACATTGTAAATTCTTAAGTTTTGTTCTTCCAACTCAGTATATCTTCTGCAATTTATCTCATCTGTTGTGTACTTTAATGACTATATGTTCTATTGTTTGTTTTGTAACTAATGTTATGCTTGGTTCTATCACCTCCCCCCATTAAACATGCTTATTTTTATTAATTTTTCATTTTGAAATAAATTCAGACTTAGAGAAAGTTGCAAAAATGATACAAAGGCTTCCCATATGCCTTCACTTGAATTCTTTTTTTCTCCTTTTTTTTAAATTTATTTCAGCATGTGTTAACACTTTACTATGTTTTCTTTAACATTATATACCTATAAAAATACATATATAATGTGTGATTGTATGTATATGTGTGTGTGTGTATAAAACTATTGTTGGTTTTTCTTGAACCATTTAACTTATGTTGCAGGTGTTAATTTCCCTTTATTACTAAATACTCCTTTATCTCTAAGAACTTCAGTGTGTATTTCTTTAATCAAATAGCCCAATGATCGAAACCAAGATATTAACACTTATACAGGATATTATCTCTGCTTGGTTCTTATTAATGTTTTCTTGTATTTGTTCATGTTGCTAATAGCTTCCCTTATCTCTTCATATGTATTTATTATGTTTAGTTAAAATCCAGTTGAATACTTCCTAGAAGATGGATTGGACATAATTTTCTATATTCTTCATGCTAAATATAACCAAGAGCTCTGAATATTATATATAAAGCAGACACAAGAGGACTCTGAAAGGTGGAGAGCAGAAAGCTGGCAGGTTAGGAACAATAAGGTGGAGTTCCCTAAGTTTTCTTTTTGCTGCATGTGCCCCAGATCTAAGTGCCAGACTTGGAGCCTAAGAATCCTGCAACTCTGAAACTCCAATGAATGAACACACACACAAAAAGTCTCAGTAAAAGCTTTCTGTCATTACATGAAGAATCAGAGAAGTGATGGTATAGCAAGAAGAAAAAAATTTTAGGTGATAACTGCTCTGCTCCATAAAAAACTGGGACTTCGCTGCCAACCGCACCAGCAAAAGTCAAGGAAGGAGCCTAGAAGCAGTAATGAGTTGCTCTAACACCCCACTGGGATGGTTTCAGAGAGGCCAAATAGACCCTTGAAACTCTCACCTCTGCCAGCCAGTAATAAGCCCCCACACACACACAGGGTCAGTGGAGACGGTGTGGGAGCCAGAGCTCCCACCTCTGCTCAGCAGTGACGAGGAGTTTCCCCACATGGGAGTCAACACAGCCTGAACAGGGGAACTGGACTTCTACCTTCACCTGACAGTCATGGGGCAGCCCCCACCCCGCCCCATTCTCCTGCTAGAACAATGCCAGAGAAATCCATCCAAAACAGAAGATTTATATAAGATCCAGAGTCTCATAATATAATACAAGCATGTCCTGGTACTAACAACAACAACAACGACAACGACAAAATCACTCAAAATACAAGAACCAGGAAAATCTGTAACTGGATGAAAAAAGACAATAAATGCCCGTGCTATGACGCTAGAGATGTTAGAATTACCTGAGAAAGATTTTGAAGCAGTCATGATAATAATAATTCAGTGAGCAATTACAAATACACTTTAAACAAATTAAAATACAGAAAGTACCAGCAGAGAAATAGAAGCTATAACAAAGAACTAAATGTACATTTTGGAACTGAAAAATACAATAACTAAAATAAAAAGCTCAATGGATGGTTCAAAAGCAGAATTGAAGTGACAATGAAAGTATCAGTGAACTGGAAGATACAAGAGTAGAAATTACTCAGCTTGAACAACAGTGAAAATAGACTGGAAAAAAAAATAACTGGCCGAGCGTGGTGGCTCACGCCTGTAATCTTAGCACTCTGGGAGGCCAATGTGGGAGGATCCTTTGAGGTCAGAAGTCCGAGACCAGCCTGAGCTAGAATGAGAGCCCGTCTCTACTAAAAAAAAAACAAAAACAAAAACAGAAAGAAATTAGCTGGACAACTAAAAATATATAGAAAAAATTAGCCGGGCATGGTAACACATGCCTGTAGTCCCAGCTACTTCGGAGGCTGAGGCAGGAGGATTGCTTGAGCCCAGGAGTTTGAGGTTGCTGTGAGCTAGTTTTACACCATGGCACTCTAGCCTAGGAAACAGAGTGAGACTCTGTCTCAAAAATAAATAAATAAATAAAAATAAAAATAACAGAGCTTAAGGGACATGTGGACTAAAACAAAAATATCTCAAATTCCTATTAACAGAATCCTAAAGAGAGAATAAAGAGGGCAGGGCTGAAAAAGTATGACAAAAATTATAGCTGTAAATTCCCCCAATTTGGCAAGAGAAATAAACCTACAAAAATTCAAGAAAGTGAATGAATCCCAATCAGGATAAACTCAAAGAAATCTGTGCCAAGAAATCTGTACCAAGACACATAGTAGCTAAACTTCTGAAAACTAAAGACAGAGAAAAAATTATGAGTACTTATGAGTGCAGCCAGAGAAAAACAATACATTACTCATAGGGGAAAACAATTAAGATTACAGTGGATTTCTCATTATAAACCATGGAGGCAAGAAGAAGAAAGTGTATATATATGTGTGTGTATATATATATATATATATAATTCATATATAAAATATATATTATATATAGTATAAATATAATATCAGTATGTATATACGTGTGTGTGTGTGTGTGTGTGTGTGTATAGTATCAGGGGAGAGCACGAACACAGTCCCCCACTCCCAAAGATTATGCAGTTGAGTTTCTCACATTTGGGGAAATCACAGGGTCAGAACATCGGGAGTACAATGGCCAATCCTCTCCCTGGCAAAACCACCTTCATGATCATGGTATCTCCCCTGCCAGGTGAGTATGCACAATATTTTTTAAGTGATGAAAGAAAGAACTGTCAGCCCAGAATCCTTTCCCCAGTGAAAACATACTTCATGAATGAAGGGCGTGGCAAAATTGATGCTCCAAGTATGAAAAACAACTGCAAACTGTGACTCACTTCTGCTTACCGGACCCAACAGTCACTGGGTCTGCTGATGAAGAACTATTGCTGGGAGAAAGTAGCAGCAAAAGGCAGCAAATGAGAAGCGCCCCAGTTGTCTTCCAGCCCCCGTCCCATGGCAGAGCCTAACAGTGAGCGGTCGACTAAGAGAGATGTGGTTTGCAGGATTCCAGTCTCAGCACCGTAGGGCAGAGCGTAGAGGGTGGGTTTGCACCTGTGACACAGAGCTGACGAGCACAGTCTGCATGTGATTTGCCTTTCATGTAATTTCTTTTTTTTTTCTTGCCTTAAACAAGAGAAATTTATTTTTTGCCAGTTCTGTTTATACCCTCATAATATCATGTAATTTCTTAGGTGAAATTTCTGATTAATTCTTTTGTCCATTAAAAAAATTGGGTTATCTGTCTTCTTATTATTGTCCTGCAAGGGTTCTTTATATGTTCTGTATATAATATCTTTATCAGGTACGTGTTTTGCAAATATTTTCTCCCAGACTGGGCCATTTCTTTTCATTTTTTTAAACACTGTCTTTCAAAAACCAAAAGTTTAAAATTTTGATAAGTTCACTTTATCATTTTTTTGCATTTTGTTATTCATGGCTTTTGTATTCCTCTAAGAAATATTTGCCTAACCTATGGTCAAAAAGCTTTCTCCTATGTTTCCTTCTAGAAATTTTGTAGCTTTAGGTTTTACATTTAGGTAGGTCTATGATCCATTTTGAGTTGATTTTTGTATATGATGTGAAGTAGGAGTTGAAGTTCATTTTTTTTGCACGTGGGTGTTTAATTGTTCCAGCACCATTTGTTCCAAAGACCACACTTTCTCTGCATATTAATTTGACATCTTTTTCAAAAATCAATGGATAATACATGTATGAATCTATTTCTAGACTCTCAATTTTGTCCCATTTGTCTGTATCTCTATCATTTCCCCAGTACTCCCCCAAACAGCTTTGATTTTGAAGCCAGAAAAATGTTGTACTATTCATGCAACTTCATGCAACTTACTTTGCCTCCCTCAACACTGATTTCATCAGCTCTAATACGGGGCAGTAATATTCACCTTTCAGGATTGTATGAGAATGAGAGAGAGCGTAGATGAGGCAACGAGCTCAATACTTAGTACAGAGCAGGCTCTCAGTAAATGTTAGCAATTCACCCATACATTCTCTGTTGGAAAGTTTAGTAACCTGGCAGAGAACAATGGATATTTATGTTTACATTTATATGCCATCTTATGCCCCCAAAATTGTTCCTATTATTTTCATATGTAACTCAGAATATTTACAAAATATCTTAATAAAAATATGGTCTAAACATGTTCTTGTAGCCTTCTTTCCATCCCTTCTTCCCTCTTTTCTGAATGATTTAGCCTAAATAGAAAGTGAATGTGTGCATGGGATAGGGGTGGTCTAAAGAAATAGCATACTTCATTTCTTCTTTTAAAAAATTGAAATAATCTTAAACTTATAGAACAAATTAAAAAATGGTTCACAGAATTTTTTTTCCTTTATGACAAAATGATGTTTCATCACCTCTAAACATCAGTGTGTGTTTCCTACATGAAGGGCATGCATTCTCCTCCATAACCACAGTGGCATTCAAAACCAGGCTTTTACTCTTGCAAACAATGCTGCAAGGAACATCCTGGAATCACACCTTGCAGCACATGTGTATGTGTCTCCATTGAATATGTTTCTAGAAGTGAAATTGCTCAATGAAAAGGCATGTGCATTTTTCCACAGCTGACAAATTAATTTGATATTAGTAAATTTCATTTGATACTATTAATATTATCAAATTTAAGATACTGCTAAATTACCATCTAAAGAAGTTACTTAAATGTAAAACTCTGCCATCTGTATGTGAAAATATGTTTTCTTATAACTTCACTAATTTATTAAAGTCTTTAAATATTTTATATTTGTCATTATAAATAGCAACTATTCACTGGTGTATCTCCAGAGCACACATTAGGTGTTCAGTAGATGGTTTGCTGAATGAATAAATTGTTCAACTAAAATGTTTTAATTTATGAATAAGACTGAACACTTCAAAAAGTTCAAAAGGCATGTAAGTTTTTTTGAGCAAAATGACCGTTATTATCCTTTACTCAATTTTCTATTTGGTTATTAGCCTTTTTTTTTTCTTATTAGGTTGTAAGAAGCATTTATATTAAATAAATTAGTTACTCTTTGTTAGATTGGTTAATATGTTTATTATATATTCCCAGATTCCCCTTTAGCTTTTAAGGCTTTTTTTTAAATCAAGCATTTAAATTTTTTCTGTTGTAAATTTTTTCAATCTTTTTCTTTAGTGCTATTAAGTTTCCTGTCTTAGAAAAGCCACTCCACCTCAAATATTTTAAGAAAATTTCTTCCAAGTTTTCTTCTAGTACTTTCACAGTTTATTTTTCCCTAAAGAGTCTTTAGAAAACAAGAAACACTGTCCCACTTGAGGACTGGCATGAGACACCAAGCTTTCAGAATGACACATAGAATGTTGAGTTTCAAATGATCAATCACATGACAATCAATTGCATGAGTAATCTTAAGAGTCTTTGAAATTGATGATACACATAAGAAATAAGACAAGAGGAGACTCAGGAAGAAAGACTGGATTGGATAAACCCTAACAAAAAGAAAGAAAAAATGCATTCTATCTTTTACACAGATTGTCCCACAATTAACTAATTTGATAATTGTTCATCAATTAAGATAAACAATAACAAGGAAATAGTCCTTAACATGGTGACAGCAGCTCCTAAGCTGGGTATAAAAGTGGGCATGGGATAAGGGGACTCACACATTTGGGAAACTCACTCTCTTAGAAACTCATCCAGAACCTCCATCCTCTGACACCATGGTCAACTCTTGTGGCTCCGTCTGCTCTGACCAGGGCTGTGGCCAAGAGACCTGCTGCCAACCCAGCTGCTCTGCGTCCAGCTGCTGCCCCCCATCCTGCTGTCAGACTACCTGCTGCCAGACCTCTTGCTGCCGCCCCACCTGCTGCCGCCCAGTCTGCTGTCAGACCACCTGCCGCCCCAGCTGTGGTGTGTCCAGCTGCTGCCGCCCAGTCTGCTGTCAGACCACCTGCCGCCCCAGGCTGGGTGTGGTCCAGCTGCTGCCGCCCAGTCTGCTGTTCAGAACCACCTGCCGCCCCAGCTGTAGTGTGTCCAGCTGCTGCCGCTCAGTCTGCTGTCAGACCACCTGCCGCCCCAGCTGTGGTGTGTCCAGCTGCTGCCGTCCAGTCTGCTGTCAGACCACCTGTCGCCCCAGCTGTGGTGTGTCCAGCTGCTGCCGCCCAGTCTGCTGTCAGACCACCTGCCGCCCCAGCTGTGGTGTGTCCGGCTGCTGCCGCCCAGTCTGCTGTCAGACCACCTGTCGCCCCAGCTGTGAAGTGTCCAGCTGCTGCTGCCCAGTCTATCAGACCACCTGCTGTGGTACAACTTGCAGTCGCCCAAGCTGCTGTGAAACCTCTTGTTGAGCCTCATATCTGACTACCAACTACGACCGATCCACCGTTACATCAATGTGAAAATGTCATTCATATCAACTTATCTATGTGTTAAATAGCCACCACCTTTATTATCCTATTATCCCACTAAGCAACTGGGAAAGGGCACCAGTCTACATTAAATACCACTCATATCTCCCATGGATCTCTTCCCTGCATTCAGACCCCAGATACAGGTTGCAATTAGACCAAACCCCTGAGTCTCTGTTATGGTTGCCTTGACCTTTAAAATTACCTGTTAACTGTTCTTCAATAAATATTATCTTGACATCAGAAATTCTTTGTCATTCTTCAGTTATTTTTGAGAGTTGATTATCAGTTTATTTTTTAGCATATTTTTTCTCAAAATGAAGAGAAAGTTTGCGTTTCCATGGCTAGAAAAGAAAACTAATTTTTGCAAATATTATCTAATGCTTGTGTTATAGAAAGGACTTTTGAAATATATTTTTTAAAAATAAGATAACTCATTTTATTTAACTAACAATAGTTTTCTTATTCAATCAATACAATGACTGATCACCTGGCATGTTCATTGCACTGTTGGGCTCTGGGGATGATATCAAGATATGTGAGGTGCAGGGGCTTCCTGCAGGGAGCTCACAATCTAATCTTGGGGATAAGAGGAAGGACCAATCAATGTAGGTGGAATACATCAGGTAGGATTGATCAGAGGGCAGAGTTTTTGTCTTGGAGACAGGTGAGACAGAAGGAATAATTTTTATAATAGAACAAGTCAAGTCAGTACATTTAGGAAAAATGTGCAGGTCCCAAACCTGCATGAGATGAAGGGGAGGAGGAGATAGGGAAGTGTTTGCATTCTTGTGGTGACAAGAGTGAGATGAGCTGAGAAATCAGTTGCTATCGACCAACTGTGGCAGACTGTAAACCTTGCTGGCCTCACCCCATGCCCTTCATGTGAATGATACTATACTAAAACAGCCATAAGCAAATGAGGAAGCTCTTAGTCACGGGTGGAATCAAACGTGGGCAAGGAAAGACTCCCTTTGGGGAAGGTGCGGGAAGGAGTTGGGGAAGGGTTGGAATGGTAGGCAAGGGTGAGGTTGTACAGGGGAAGGGACTCAGGCTGTGCTTGTAAGCTGCATGCTGAGCCTGCATCCTTGGGGTATCCCTAGATACTGCACAGACTTGGACATATTCCAGAAAGCAAACCAAATGTCTCCGGCAGCCACTTGGCTTTACTTGTCCTGCTTGATGCCACTTAACACATGAAGACAGCTATTCAAGCAAAATATAGCGGTCAATAGAACAAAGAAATTGCTTTTATGTTTTCTTGGTCCTTCCTGTAGATATTTTAAGATGAAGAAATCCTACCTTTTTTTTTAGCAATAATAATAATTATGAGGGATCATAAGATATTGATAGAAGTGCCATAAGCAGTGATGCTAGCATTTCAAGTTGAAGCCCAGATGTGGCAGAAAACTGCTGAGAATGGCTGGGAGCCACAGAGTTTATGGATAGGGCGGTAGGAAGTTACAGCTAGGAAGACTGACAGCCTTTTCATTTTGAGGGACTTGGTTGCCATGGCAATGCATTTATGGTTAAATACTAATTACTGTCCACATTTGTTCGTGATGAGCAATGCACATAGTCAAGAACTATCATCCATTCTGGCTCCACTCAGCTCGTGCTGCAGTGGTTAGACTGGTCTTCTCACAATGACAAGTGGATCTAAGACTCATGGTCTCACCCAACACAGCCTGGCACCAAGGCAGCCATCAGATTGCTTTGCCTCTGTTCTTTAGCAGCTACCTTTCGTTTTGGAAGTACAGGTTTATCATAACTTCTCATGTCTTTAAGAGAATTTCCATCCCATAGCCAAATAATAGCAATACGCCTAAGAGTCAAGGACTTTAGTTAGAAGCAAAATTTAGTTGAAAAATAAAAAGCAAAAAGTAAACAACACCGTCAGCTATCTGTAGAGCAATATGGCATTCGTAGGATAAAGAAAATCATGCCCTTAAACCTAATATTTTTAGTCAGTTAAGATAGTAACTGCTGTCAGATTGTGATTCTCATTGCAGCACTTTTCTCTCATTAATACATACATGAGTGCACACACATCTGTGTAACGTGGCAAGGACTGAGAAATCTGTGGAAGCAAACCAAGTACGTTGTGATGGTGTTTCTTTATCACTAATGGTTTTGGAGTATATAAAAAAGTCCCCATTTGTTTTGCTTACTTTTATTTTTGTTCCATTACTCCTTATGCTTATTGAATCAATCAAAATACAGAACATTTTCATCACAACCAATATCTCTCATGTTGTCTGTTTATAACCACACACACTTCTAGTGTCAAGAGTAAGAACTCTTTGCCTAGCCCTATGTCCCAAAGATGTTCTCCTCCGTGTTTTGTTTCAAAAGTTTTTATAAAACTATAGTTTTATGTTTTACATTTAAGTCCATGGTGCATTTTCAGTTAATTTTTTTTTAATAAGGCAAGAACTTCTATTTTTTTCTTTCTTTTTTTTTGGTTTTTGGTCAATGAATGACCAATTGCTCCAGTACCATTTGTTGAAAAGATTGTATTCCTTTATTGAATTTCTTTTTCACATTTGTCAAAATATCAGTTGGAATGTAACTAAAATGTCAAAAAAAATCTTTTATCGGGTGGCGGGCAACTGAAGGTTACAACATTTTCATCTTCCCCCGAGAAACTTCATAGTCATTAGCAGTCCCACTCTCAGCCCCTCCTGTCTCCACCCCAGCTGTAGGTAACCACTAATCTACTTTCTGTCTCTATAAATTTCCTTTCTGGACATTCCACATAAATGAGGCCATAATCACACAATATATGTGTTTTTGTGTCTGACTTCTTTCATTTGAATATTATTTTCAAGGTTCATCCATACTGTTGCATGTAGTGGTACTTCATTCCTCTTTATTGATGAATAATATGTAATATTCCATTATATGGATATAACAAATTTTATTTATCCATTCATTAACTGATGAGCACTTGGATTGTTTTGACTTTTGGGCTATTATAATAATGCTGCTATGAACATCTGCTACAACTTTATACTTTAATTTCTTTGGGGTTGTCTTTTGTTATTGAGTCATAAGAGCTCTTTACATATTCTGCACATATGTCCCTTATCCTTATTTCTTCTCTATTTCTTTCTATTGAATTAAATGGATATTTTACAGTGTAATGTAGTAATTCCTTTGAGTGTGTGTGTGTGTGTGTGTGTGTGTGTGTGTGTATTATATGGCATAAGATACAAACCTTAATTTATCAGAATATATTTCAGATTTATACTGAGTTCCAGTGAAATATAGAAACTTTACTCTTATGTAGCTCCAGTCCCTCCATATTTCTGTGCTACTACTATCACATATATATTATGTCTATATATGTAAAAATCTAACAATACATTGTAATTATTACTTTATGTAATCATATGTCTTTTAAACAAGCTGAGCAAAGATTGAAGAACAGGCATATATTGTAGAGTTATATCAACCTTTGATTTAACCTTTCTGGTTTTCTTCATTTCTTCCAATACATTCATTGTTACCTCATGTAATCACCTTACCCCAGTAGTTTCGTTCCCACCTGTTTCCTTTGTGTTTACATCTCCAGGTGTTATACACCCAATGATACAATTGTTTCTATACTTTTTAAAAAAATTTTAGTGCATTATGGGGGTACAAGGTCCAAGTGTTAAGGTTATGTATATTGCCCATGCCTCCTTCCCCCCTTGAGTCAGAGCTTCAAGCGTGACCATCCTCCCAACATTGTACATCTTGCTCATTGTGTTTGTATATACCCATCCCCTCCTCCCCCCTCCCACCTGCCTGACACCGATAAATGTCATTCCTATATGTCCACTGAGGTGTTGATCTGTTAATACCAATTGGCTGGTGAGGACATGTGGTGCTTGTTTTTCCATTCTTGAGATACTTAGTAGAATGGGTTCCAGCTCTACCCAGGAAAACACAAGAGGTGCTATACCACCATATTGTTTTTATGCAATAGCTTTTTTTTTTTTTTTTTTTGAGACAGAGTCTCACTTTGTTGCCCAGGCTAGAGTGAGTGCCGTGGCGTCAGCCTGGCTCACAGCAACCTCAATCTCCGGGGCTCAGCGATCCTACTGCCTCAGCCTCCCGAGTAGCTGGGACTACAGGCATGCGCCACCATGCCCGGCTAATTTTTTGTATATATATTTTTAGTTGGTCAATTAATTTATTTCTATTTTTGGTAGAGACAGGGTCTCGCTCAGGCTGGTTTCGAACTCCTGACCTTGAGCAATCCGCCCGCCTCGGCCTCCCAAAGTGCTAGGATTACACGCGTGAGCCACCACGCCCGGCCTGCAATAGCTTTTAAAAGCAGTTAAGAGAAGAAAGGAGAAGAAATATGCAAATATATACAATTTTATATTTGGTAGAGTTGACTACCATCCCACAAAAGATCTGTGGCTACCATTCCCTGGTTGTCTCTATTAAGTTTATGGATCCTCTGCTCATATCATGCTTCTATCACAGAGCTACCAGCCTCATAATCTCCATTGTTTTTGACAATGCCCCTAGACATAGTGTTTTCCTTGCTCTGCTCCAAATACAGTCAATCTCCACAGGAAGAAGTAACCCCTTAATGTTTATGGTCTGCCTTTCCCCCTGGGCAGGATCCTTGTGCTACTGCAATGGCACTAGGGTGAGAACCCACTTATTCCAAAGTGACCCCTCAACTCTACTAGTGGACACACAGATGGGTCCCCAGATCTTATCCTCTCAGTTTGCCCCTTCGTGATATGGAACATCCTTTCTATGAGCAAGATGGGATAGAGGTGATGAGACTTTGCTCCACAGAGAACAACAAAGTTTGACTTAGTGTGATCAGGGAGGCTTAGTCATTTAATTGAGTGGAAGGGAAGCAGTGCACCTCCCTTCAAGGGTACTCTTAATCAGTGAGCTTTCCAGTGGATAACAAGTAGACAGAGACACTT